ATGGTAGAGGAGTCTGGATTTCTGATTCTTGGCAAATTCATCTTCAGAGATGCCACTCACACTTCCTTTACAAGGGGACTTACCATACCCCTTCCTCAGTGTTTGTCGAAGACCAACCAAATGGCTACGTCCACCCTTGTATTGTGCCCTTTTGCAGAATTCCATTCAGCTCTTGATCCCAGGGTTATTTTTTTTTTTTTCTGCACTGTCACTATGAGTCTTGGATTAATTAAGGATGCAGACCGAATGAGGCATTATGGTGACTGTCAGCCCTAGAAGTAAAATATCCCAAGTGGTTCCATGGGCAGGAGTGAGATGAAAACCTGGGAACTACATAGCCAGGCTAGAAATTCCGGCATCAACTATTTCTGCAAGCCATGTTCCTTATGGGACCTGTGGTCTGAAGTGTCACTGAGGCAAAAAGAACACATCCTGGCTTCTTCTCTTCCACAGAAATAAGCACACGTGTGCACATGCGCAAGAATGATTATAGGCAAGGTCATGATACAAGGAGCATTTATTCCTCTATGCTCCCTTCCTACTATATGTCTTGTTTCCACCTTCACCCAGACTGGCTCCGGGTTGGTATCAGTTAGAATCATGCTGTGATAACGAACAAACCCAATCTCAGTTGCGTAGACTAGTAAGAGGTCTTTTCTTGATTACTCCGCCATGGCCTGTGAGGATAGCTGGAGGGCCCTCTTCACATCATTGTCATTCTTACCCGTGGCTATCAGACGTAGCCTTATCTGGCACATTCTCAACTGCTGTAGCAGGGGGAAAAAAATCTCTAGGGCAGCAACATCCGATAGAAATATAATACAAGCCACATGTGTAAGTTCAGACTTATAAGTAGCCACGTTAAAAAGGCAAAATGAAGGTGATTAAGGTGAAGTTAGTTTTAATAATGAATTTTATTTAACCCAACATTATAATTTCAGCATGTAATTAATATAAGATATATTAATGCATTTTTATATATACTTTTTTTTTTTTTTTTTTTTGGATACCATCTTTTCTAATCCAGTGTGAGTGTTTTACACTTAAAGCACACTCAGTTTGGACCAGCCACATTTCAAGTGCTCAGTGACCACATGTTGGGATTGGCCGCCATATTGGGTGGCCCAGCTCTGCAGTTTCCTAGCAACAATTACATGCTCGATCTAGAAGGGACTAATGCATATCTCTTCTGCTTACAACTCCTTGGATAAAAGTGGTCAAGTGGCTGTATCCAACCACAGGGAACCAGCAAGGACAATCCTTCCTTGTGCCTTAACATGGAAAGGTGGGACTATTTGATAAAAGGCAGTTATGTCCACAAAGCCCTCCTTACTGCCCTTGACTAGGACAGCCCACCGGCTGGTGCCTCCTCTGGTATGAAAGTCTTCGGGGCCAGCTTTCTATTTTGACTTGACTCCATTCCTTGCTTGGCCAAAGAATTGGAGGCAGATATGCTAAATATTGCAGTATATGACTCAGAAGTTGTGCCATATTAATTTTTAGAAACAGAAACTCGTGGGGCATCTGGGTGACCCAGTCAGTTGCATGTCCAACTTTGGCTCAGGTCATGATCTTGCAGTTCGTGAGTTCGAGCCCCGCGTCGGGCTCTGTGCTGACAGCTCAGAGCCTGGAGCGTGCTTCGGATTCTGTGTCTTGCTTGCTCTCTGTCTCTGCCTCTCAAAAAGAAATAAACATTAAAAAAGAAAGAAAGAAAGAAAGAAACAGTTCTTGGAAGCATGAGGTAAAATACTAACAAATTAAGATAACTGGGAAGGCCAGAGACTGAGGTGATTCAGGAAGTGAAAGAAGACATTCACGGAGCAGAAGAATTTTTTGTTCATCCTTTACATTTGCCAATGTCTTTAGCTTCCTTTCTGGCTGCCTTGTTGCTGGAGTCCCTGAGCCCCCCCATCCCCCACCTCCCAGAACACCACAGCTAGGAGGCCAGGAGCAGGATCACTGACTGTCCGTTACGCTCTATAGAACACAACAGGATATTGGTGATTAATTTTTATACTGGAAGCTCTTGGAGGTCCGGGCCACAACTTATTTTTTTTCTTGAATCTCGGGTATTGCCTGGTTTATAGCAGATGTTCAGTAAATATCTGAACGAATGAGTTTTATATTAACTTTCACAAAACCGTTTCCTACACTGTTTATATTGGTAACGGGTGGCCCTGTGACTGAGCGTCAGAACTGACCTGTGTGCCAGCTGTGTGGCTGCTAACAAAGAGCACCGAGTAGTCCTTGACCTGCCTCTTGGTTAGAATTCTTGTAAAATAACCCATGTGAAAATAAATCCATGTAAAATGACCCATGATGTGTGGACTTACATTGTTTTAAAATGTACCCTTTGTTGTTATTTGGGTATGGTGAGGCCAGCAAATCAGGAGGCGACTGCCATGGAAAAGGTAGCTTATTACTCACAGTTCCCAAGAGGCGGGGTGGCCAGCTAGGCCGTGTAGGGTCACGTGCGGGACCAGTGACAGTCGGGAGCCAGAGGGAGTGAAGGGAAAAGGTAGGCGAGCGTCTTTAGTGTGGTTTCTGCAGGAAATGCAAAGCAAGACGGGGCAAACAGGCTTAGGATTGGCTAGTTTGACTGATTTCAGTGAGTTCTGGGCTGATTTCAGTGAGTTCTTAGTTGTCCGGGGTGATTGGGACGGGGACATGATTCGGTATGTGAGAGTCTGTTAGAGGACGTGGTGACAGTATGGGTTTTGGATTGGCTGGTCTGCATATACAAGGCACGCTGGCAAGCAAACATTTCCAACCTCTGAGAATTGGCTAGCTGGGGGAGGGACAGTCTCTTCAAGGTCAGCAAGCCCGCAGATACCAAAGCAACACAAACACAGAAAATAAAAAGGCATTATTAATACCCACACAAATGGCCCTACTGAGTTCAAAGGTGCCGTTTCATTCCCTTAGGGCCTAACAGAGAACTGCAGCTTACATGCCCTTTACTTGTGCGTGTTCAAAGGTGGGTTTTAGCACTTGTCTGGGGGTTTGAAGGGCAAAAACGTAAGGGCAGACGTTAGAGACCTGAGGTGTATTTGTGGTCCTAAGCGGACTCCCTGGCATCCCAGGAGGGCCCTTGGAGAAGAAGTTTCTGAATTTTTGGATTAAAAACAGCAGAGCTGTGTATACCCAAAAGGGATAAATGTTACTTGATAGAAATTGTACCTCCATCAATATGGCTTAAAAATATGTAGGTAAGGGGCCCTGGGGTGGCTCAGTTGGTTGAGCGTCTGACTTCGGCTCAGGCCATGGTCTTGTGGTTCGTGAGTTCGAGCCCCACATCAGGCTTGCTGCTGTCAGCATGGAGCCCGCTTTGGGTCCTCTGTACCCCTCTCTCTCTGCCCCTCCCCAGCTCGCACTTTCTCTCTCAAAAATAAATAAACGTTGAAAAAATATGGGTAGACAGAACTGTCCTAAATTTTCCGGAGAGGTAATGAGGGTTCATTCATTTTCTTCCTTTTTCATTCTAACCCAGAGAACAGACTCACAGTTGGGTGAGAGATTACAGCTGGCGGAGTTGAGTGGGACGGAGGATGCGGGGATGATTGTCTGCCAGAACTTTCCGGCATGGATCAGGCTGCCGGTGCTGCACATTTAGAGTGCCGTACGATGGGTCCCTAGCACCTCGGAGAGCAATTGGAGGGCTAGCAAGGGAAGATTGATGTTCTTGAAGTGTGCGGTGTTTGCGAGCACACTGAGCTCTGGGAGTTTCTCCAAAGCGTGTTAGATGCTTTGGTGCCAGATTCTTGGAAAGTCAAGCGGGACTGAGTGTTGCCTGAAAAATGTCGACGCCTCCTTTGGTGTGCCTTGAGCTTCCGTGTTCTGCTTAAACCCATGGCCATTTGCTAGACTGGGGCACTGAGTCCAATCAGGAGTTAAAAGGGGTCTCTATTGCAGAAGGTCTGGAAGTCTCAGTATGTCCCGTAGAATTGGGGACCTTGAATGCTGGGCGGCACGGAGAGCATCTTAAAATGGTGGTGTCTAGGGCCAAGGATGATAGCCATTTAGAGCCAACAGCCAGTAGCTAGTGCTGGCTTTGTGAATCATCGAGCACCCAGACAGATGCATGTGTGCAGCTGGTGGTGACGCTGTGCTTTACAGTGAGGTCCCGCCAAGGCATTGTCATCGGCCTGATTACAGCAAAAATCCTAGCCTGTTCTTGGGGGCTGGAAAAACATAGACTTCAAATCTGTACTTTCATTTAAAAATATTTTCTATGGTCAGGAAGAAGCTGTTATGTGCTTACTCAGATTTACCCGGCTAATAAAAAAAGATACTGATTGATAGCTGGAAAAATGGATTAATGCTAATACTAACAGAGGAATGGATAATGTTAGTAGCTGATACTTAAGATGCATCAGGCATTGGTCCATGTTACTCACACTGATTTGTTAATTCCTTACAACAACCCTATGAGATAGATAGTATATTATCTCCTCTTCCCAGATGAGAACAACAGAGATTAAGCAATTTGCCTCTAGGTCATGCAGCTAGTAAACGATGGAGCTGGGACTGGAACCCATGTGGTCTAGCCCAAGTTCATGCTCACAGCCCCAGCACCATGTTAAGGTGGGGAGCACAGGGGCGAGGCCAGCACTCTCCTTGCCTTAGCTCGTTACTCACTTTTTGGACCATATTGATGTCGGTTGAGCATTTCTACTGGGAGTTGTGGCACATATCTGGTGCTACAAGTCATACCTTCTGGAATCATGAGAGGGTCATTAACCTCAAATAGGCTTCCACGGGGCTTTTGGATCTTCCTATCACAGCTCTAGAAATAGAGGTCTAATGGAGTGCCAAAAATCTTAGCAATCGTAATTTTTAGCAACCTGGAATTTGGAATTTATCTTTCTACAATTTCAAAGCTCCCAGTTTCCTTGCTTGTTCCTGGTTCAAAAGCTTGGTTGCTGAATCAGTTACGATAGGCTAGAGTGTGCTTTGTAAAAACCATAATATATTAAATAATGTAACATTTTAGAACAGACGTTTTTCACGCATGATGCCTGCCCGTAGGTCACATTACACGCCTATCCCAGGTTACCAAGTGGTCTCTACTCATCAAAGTCATTGAAAGACCCAGGATGAGAGAGGAGCCACCATCTCAAAGTTGGCAGTGGCTATGCCATAGGAAAGAATGCCCTGGAAGGTGCGTAAGACCTGCAATTAAAGGTCCTGCCTGGAAGAAACACATAATTGGGGGGCCCAACCTGGTCTCATGGCCTCACTCAACCACAGGAGACCTGGAAGTACAATCCTTACATGTGCCCAAAGAGGGGCGAACAACCCATAGTTGGCAAACAGCATTCATGACTTCCACATGGTGCAGCCGGAACAACTATGAGCAAGAGGATTTTGGAAAGCTCCCAAGGTACTAAACAGAATCTGCGGAGATCTTGGTAGCACAGCAAACAGGGATCAGTGCCTGAGTCTGACTTAAATGCATTAGATTAGAAAGCACTCAATTTAGCTGGTGGTTTTCCTAATTTCAGCGACTGCTCCCTCCAGTTTTCTCTGCTTCCCTCTTTTTTTCTCCCCCCATCCACCTGCCAGTTCCTAGGATTGTAACAGTGATGCTGTTGTCAGTGATGCTGGGATGAGACAAGGTTTCAGGGCAGCTTTTAGTCATCGTGATTTAAAAGGTCGAATGAAACTGTGATTACAAACAGTAAAGAATAAGAATAGATTTGTAAACATTTTATGTACCGTCCACTGATTTTGTGTTCGCAGCGGGGGGTGGGGGCTCTGTGGGACTCCATCCCTACCTGTCATGCAATAGAATCATTTCATTCTGTCTGTGCTGTTTCTGGTATGTGCAAGATGCAGCTTTTTACCACGTGGGGACCCGCCATCAAACGTGACTCTGGATTGACCTAGAGCAGAGGAGGTATGAGACCTGTCACTATTTCTCAGTGTGACTGATTACGGGGAAATGGCTGAACTGCAAACATGGTTGATCTTGGTGTGTTTCCCACCAGGAAACAGGAAAGGGAATGGATTTTGAAGTCCTACAGACCTAGGTTCAGATTTTAGCGGCACCGCTTATTAGCCTATGATCTTGGGCAGATCTGTTTCCTCATCCATTGTAAACTATCAAAACTCAGAGTCAACAACTGCTTACAAAGTTTGTCTCTTTAGACAGGCATGAAATAGGAAAGCACTAGGCTGCCGTGACCTTGTCTCTGATGCTGACATGTTAGGAACCGTAGGAGGATTATTATGGCAATGAACCCACCAGGCTCTTCTTGGGCCCAGTACGTGAAGCCCAGAAGACACATGTTTACGTGAACTTGCCACCTGCTCCCCTTCAAAGAACCATAGTTAACTATTTCAGTGTGTGTTTCACATTGAGGCGATCAGTAAGTAGAGATTTTTCACACGGTAAAAAGACCTTTCAAGGAGAGAGATGGCGTGGGGTGGGGTGGGAGCTGATATTGTCACGTTATTGACTGTAAGTAGCCTGATTGTTAAAATTACACCATCCAAGTACATCAAAAGCCAGAAGGGAGAGAGTCCAACCGAAGTGGTTCTTTTTACTCCTTCATCACTGAAGAGAAGAATGCGTCAGTGCTGGGTGAATATACTCCGTTGTGTTTTCCGGAAAATAGATTTAAACTGTATTTCTTGTTTCTTGTTTCATTAGAGTGAGAGATCTGACAACGATAGGTGGTCGGGATAGAAACTCATAAGTTCTGAGCAAACCAGTCAATCGCCAAGAATCACAGATTTTTACTAAAACAAAGGCCCCTTTGCCCTCTGTTGACTGTCCTCTTCCCAAGTCTAATCCTGAGTGGCTTGCCAGTTTTCCTGCCCATTCCCGTCGTGGCTGCAGTGATGGGTCACTAGAGCCCAGGACCACCTGACCGAAAATAACTCACTGAACCCAAATCCTTAGGGATGTGGCCCAGGACTCTTAATTTTTACAAGTTCCCAAAACACTGACATTTGAAAACCATTGATGGAACGTCCACATGTGAAATGATTCCTAAACTCCATTATCAGTGAGGAGAAGCCTCACACCTTTTAAGGATTATGAAAACTGGAGGAGGAATGTTCCAGAGCCTAACTGTCGGCAGGGAACTTCCTGAAACCCAAGCAGTTATCTGCTTCTCCCCATTTTCTACTCACATCCCCAGGAAATGGGCTCAGTAAGAGACTGTTTGCTGGGGATTTTCCTACTTTTATTTTACATTATTGATATTCTTGTGACATTTCACAGATTGCTCCTTAAGTTTTCACGGCTTCTGTCTTGCCCTTTTGACTATAGATGGCTCTCTTGGCTGTGTTGTGTGTTCCCCTTTGTGTTCCCTTCTGTGCCCGGCGCATCATCTGTGCTCTATAGATATCTATAAATTCATTGATTTGGGCGCAGCTCAGGTGTCACTTCAGCTGGGGGGTTAAAGATACCCTGAAGGGAACGTCTGCATCTGAGTCTCCTGCTGCATCCCTCACGTGCTTGGAACAGAGCTACTACATGGCGGGTGCCCAGCAAATGCACACTGATTGATTGACCTTGGACTTGCCATCTTATTTTGACCAATGCCTGCATATCTTTAGGAAAATCGGCTCCTGTTAGCAGTCACCTGTGACCATCCAGGCGTCACTCCAGAAATGGCTGCTTCTCAGACAGCTACTCCGGAAGTTAATGCTAACACCCTCCAACTGCCTACCTGACATCCCCTCCTGGCTGTCTAGTGGACATCTCTAACATCATACACCCGAAACCGAACCCCTCGTCCTCTCTCCGTTCTGCTCCATTCCCAATCTTCACCGTCTTGGGCAATGGCAACCCCATGCTTCCAGATGCTCAGGTCCAAACCTTTGGAGTCACCTTTCATGCTGCTCTTCCTCTTACGTCCCATATCCCATCTGCAGTAAATGCTGCTCTATCTTCAAGATACGTTGAGGATCTGACTGCATCGCAGCACCTGCACTGTTACCTCCCTGGTCTCAGCCCCCATCATCTGTCCCCGTCGGTTCTGTAATGGTCCCCTTGGTCCCATCCTCATCTCCCCCTGGTTTACTCTCAATATAGCTTCCAGGGTATACATTTAAATCCTCTGGAAAGTTAAGTTAGATAGTGTGATTCTGCTGCTACAGACCCTACAATTCCTTCTCCCATTTCTCCTAGAATAAAATCCAAATCCATAGTACGGGCCCTTCCATATCTCCATGGCCTCGTTTGTAATCACATCTTGCTCAGTCTGCTTCAGTGGCACTGCTGTTTGGCAATCCTGCCAGGCACCCCCGCCCCTCACCAGGAGGTGGCTGTTCTCTCTTAATGTGCCCCGTGGAGAACTCCCCCGTTTCATTCACATCTTCGCTCAGATGCCATCTTCACAGTGATTCTGTCCCTCACCACTCAGTTTAAAACTTCACCATCCCGGGGCGCCTGGGTGGCGCAGTCGGTTAAGCGTCCGACTTCAGCCAGGTCACAATCTCGCGGTCCGTGAGTTCCAGCCCCGCGTCAGGCTCTGGGCTGATGGCTCGGAGCCTGGAGCCTGTTTCCGATTCTGTGTCTTCCTCTCTCTCTGCCCCTCCCCTGTTCATGCTCTGTCTCTCTCTGTCCCAAAAAAAAAAAATAAACGTTGAAAAAAAAATTAAAAAAAAAAATAAATAAATAAAACTTCACCATCCCGTCAGCACACGTAATCTTCTAACCCGGCCCTAATTTTCCCATTGCATTTACCACATTTCCACACAATGTACACATTACTTGATTATTGTGCTTGTTGGTCATATATTTTCCCAACCAGCGTGAAACCTGGGCGGGGCTTTTGTCTGTTTTGTTCCCCAATGTTTCCCTAGTGCCTAGACTATCTAGTAAATTGTTAAGCAGGAAGGAAGGAGGGAAGGGAGGACTAAAGGGAGGGAAGGGGGGAAAGAGGAAGGAAGGAAGGACGGACGGACTCCATTTTGTTGGAAGACCTCAATCTGAAAAACTACAGTGGTGAAGGCAAAATCAACGTAAATCCACATTGAACGGAGAGAAGAGCACCACATTTTTGAGAACTAGCAGAGGAGGCATTTCTCACATGTCAGTTGTTTCTGATTGAACTCTGAGTGGTCTGCAGCACCTGCTCGGATTGATTAAATGGCTCCCTGTCTAATCAACTCTCCATCAGTTATTATCTGTGCTCTCACTGTCGGCCATATTGAATGGTGAATGGCTTCCTCTGGCTCTTTGTCAGGCTTCCAAAGCTATGGGGTTCGTGAAGTAAGGTTCTGAGGAGGGTGGAAGAAGTCCCCAGGCTAAACAGAGGTTGAGAGCATCTCCCTGGGGGGCAGTCAGAGGTCCCCACTGTAAGTGCCCTTTGGGAACCAAGGCTTTTGTGAGGACACTGGCTTCTGTGAGCCTGAAGCGGAAGCTTCATCCCATTGCATTTGATCTAGGAGCTGCTGCCGCCTGTGGGGAGGAGGCGGATCCAAGAAAGGTGTGGATATGTCAAAAGCCATTTCTGCTCATTAGCAATACCCTCTGTTAGCATTCAACAGCAGCACTGGTGTTAATGGGTCTTGTCAGTTCCAGGATTCCTTACGAATACGAATACGGTCCTGGGGACACTCCCACAGGTGGGGTGGAGGTGAGCTCACCCTACTGCTATCTTCCAGCCACTCAGCAACTCACCCGAGTAAACCTGTGTTTGTATTGGTTGAGGTCCTCATGGGTTGAGTTATCAAAAGGCTTCCGTGTGGGTCCCCAAGGCCAGGACCGCATATGAGGGTGGTTCATCTGGGTGAGAGTGGCGATTTTAAAATGTGGTCACAAGTTCTTTGACCCGTCTTGCGTTGAGAGGTTGGGGTCAACGTCCTTCAGTCCGGGTGGGTTCTGTGATTACGACGTACCAACAGAGAAAGGTGAAGTGATGCTACATGACTTCCAAAGTTAGGTCATTAAATGTCATGCCGCCTCCACCTTTTTTTTGTGGAAACACTCGCTCTTGGAGCCCCAATCCACCATGTAAAGAGTCTGACCGTGCTGAGGCTGTCGCGCTGGAG